CAGAGGAAAAGAGAAATTAAAAGTTGATACATATTTGCCAGTACTAGACATGCTGTGTACAGAACTGTCGTGGCGCCTAGAAGCTTACCGGGAAATAAATGATCTGTTTGGGTCTCTAACAGATTTCTCGACAAAATCCGACGCTGAAATTAGACAGGCTTGCACAAAGTTTAAGGAACATTATTTCGAGGACATTGAGCCTGAGTTTACAGACGAAATGGTGCAGTATAAATACTTCATCTTACAATTAGAGACGCCGGAAAAAAATTGTGCCTGCCGAAGAGTCTTACAAACTGATTATTGGTAACATGGCACACTCAACTTTCCCGAATGTAATGTCAGCTTTGCAAATATATAGAAGCTTTGCAAATATATGTCTCAAAACCGTTTAAATTCATCGGCCATAATGGCAATTGAAAATGATGTATCGGAAAAGGTTAACTTTCAGGATGCCTTGAACGATTTTGTAACAAAAAAAGTTAAAAGAGTTAATATTTAAGCTTATTGTATGATTTTTTTTAGATGCATATGTATTAATTACTTATATTCTTTTCGTTTGATTCAATACTTTTATTGAATAACGTGATAATATACCTATGTAGTAAAAAACAGCGTAATTATGAATAAAGTGTTGTGTTAGCGAAAAAATATATTAGGAAGTTAGAAGACGGTAAGGGGGGGGGGGCGAGACGAGCATTCCCTAGGGGCCGCGACATGCATAAGCCGGCCCTGCCTGCCGATATGTGCATTACGTCGATAATTCGCGATACATCGATTAGGCAAGAATCCTCGCACGTTAAACCGCGAGCGTCTTAAATCAGATTCCTGATGCAGCGCCTAAAATAAAAGTAATTATATCGGCCTGCCGAGATGTGCATTAAGTCGATAATTCGCGATACATCGATTTAAAAATGTCTAACAGTAGCGCTCTTTAAAATTGCCGCATCATAACAAAAACAAGAGCTTCTTAAAAAAAAAAATGGAAAAGCCAAACGAAATAAAAACAAAAAATCGTTCTCAATTTTTATAAGAAAAATTTAACGTTGAAAAATACACTTTAAGTGCTTCCCATCGCCGGATTTTTAGAAAAAATGACAAAAAAGAAGCTCTTTAAAATATGCTATCAAAATAAATAAAAAAAAACACAATTAATCAAAAAAACAAAATAGAAACAGAAAATTTTCCTAAATTCTTAAGACAAAACTTGCAACGTAGAAAATCAATTTTCTATTTTACTGGTTATCTAATTATCTGTATAACTTTAAAAGAAAAAGTGGAGATAAAATATATCAGAAACGCTGTTAAAATGCCGCGCTATAAAATTAAAAAAAACCCAGCAAAAGGGAAAACAGAAAGCAAACATTTCACTCTTTTAAAAAAAAAAGTGTCGATGAGAAAACGAGAAAAATGACTTTCCTGATTAAAATTATATTTCCCCGAATATTCGTAATATTCCTAATATTAAAAAAATGGAGTCATTTTTAAAATTCAATTTCAGAAGAAAACCTGATACAATGAAAGAAATCCACTTTGTCTTGCGACGATCACTAGATACTGATCCATTCCTTATATTTTTCATCAAGTGTCCATAAATTATTAAAAACACACTTTCCTGGCATTTCTAACAATTTCACATTTGAATGAAGTATCAAAGCTACCACGTGTGCTATCAGAAGAATGAATTTCTCCAACCCTATGGATGTAGAAGGTCAATGCAGGTCTTCAGCTGATAAAGTACCTCTAAGTACTGTCAAGACCTCCCCTCTCCCTACACTAAATTCTTTTCCTTCAGAGTGATCCAGAAAGAAATATTTTAATAAAACAATTAATAAAAGAAAAAAAACAATAAGGACGTGTTTTCTTCCACTTGCTTGTAACCCCTACCCTCACACGCATTCAAAATATTCTACCCTCAATGCAGGGTCTCATTCTAGGCGAAAGACGTACTTTTTAATTGTGGATATTTTCTTGAGATAAAAAAATTGTTCCAACCAACTAGTGATACTAGAAATTAAGGACTTTTAAGGACCATGAATCAAAACTAAGTACTTTTAAGGGCCCTTAATTTTCAAAATAAAAACTAAGCAGTTTTTAAGGACTTTTAAGGACCGTGGGAACCCTGTACACAGGATGTTCCATAGCAACCTGAATCAGCTTATACAGAATTGCAGACTGTTCCATAGAGACCAAACTCGAATTATACAGGGTATTTTGTACTGACCGCCCTGTATCAGCTATTTATATATTTCAAAAATCTTCAACAAAAATAAGTCAAAAAAGTGTCTTAAGAAAGGCAAATTACATTAATGTATATTAAGTTACCAATTACATAAGAGTATCTTGTAGTGACATGAATCAGCTTAAACAGGGTTGCAAGGTGTTCCACAGTTACCAAAATCAAATTATACTTGGTATTCCATAATGAACTGAATTAGCTTATATGGAGTGTTTTATAGTGATCTGAATCAGCTTATACAGGGTATTCTGCAGCCGACTGAATAAATTCCATTCCTGTTATTGTCATCACAATTATGGATTTTGAAATCACATGAATATGAAACTAGATATACGATTTTGAAAATGAGAAAATACAAACTGGGATATAGAATTTTTAAAACGCGTAAATACAAATCACGATTTATAATTTTTAGATAGTGCAAATACGAATCATGATGCATAATTTTTAGATTGCATAAATAAGAATTATGATGCATAATTTTTAGAATGCCTGAATGCGAATCCCAATGCCTTATTTTAAAATCACGTATAAATACGAAAATCAATGTTTGATATTATAAACCGCATGAGCAAATCAAGACATTGAATTTTAAACTTGCGTGAATACGAATCGCTACATAGGTTTTTAAAAAGGCGTAAATACGAATCACAATATCGGATTTTTAAATCTCGTAAATAAGAATCGCAACGTACAATATTCAAATCGCGTGAATAAGAATCGCAACACGCAAATATGAAAAGCTATGTTTGATATTAAAATCGTATGAATAAGAATCGAGATATTAGCATATTCCAGGCTTGGGACCTATAAAAGGCTTGTCAGAAGCAGCGTCGTTTGAACTATGAAAATCGGATCTATCTGGAGGGCGGGTAAAAAATTCGGAAAATCTTATCTGCTGCGTGTAAAAGGGGAGAAAATAGGTAAAATAAGTAAAAATGAGAAAGGATTGGTAGCTATGTAGTTTGAATTTTCTGCTTCTCTTTGAAAATCGGTGAATTTTCTGAAAAAGCGGAATACTTATAAAAAAAATGAAATTTTTAGAAAATCTGAATTTTTGATTAAAAAAAAGCTGAAATTTAAGAGATAAAAGTGAAAATAGCGGAAATCCGCTAAAAAGCGGAAGAATCTCATCCCTGCAATAATGAAGTCAAAAAATTTCATCAAGAATTTAAAATTAATATTTATGAAAAGAAGAAACAAAAACCCTATTGAAATCACTACTGTGGAAGGCATGGCTGTAAGAATCAAATTTTGATTGGTCGCCTGGTGAAACTTCGATGAGTTATTAAATTAATAATCTCCTTCCAACTCCTTATAGTTTCCGCAAGTAATAAAACAGGAATTGACAATTGCAATTCAACCTCTCTCAGTGATTCCTTAAATTTTAATAGTGTTGTCGTTTTTTCCTCATTTAAATATTATTCAATGATCCCTAAAGTGCGTATTTTTTTAACAAATATTGTAAAAATATGTATAAAGGGTAGTAATTATAAAACATCATGTTTATGGATTTGCCTAGTTAATAAAAAGCTACGAAAACACATACCAGATGAAATAATAGGAGTAACCAAAACCAGCAGTTTCAAACCTTTGTAGTAGAACAAACCACCAATTTTGCAAAGGAAAAAATTTCTAAACAGCTATTTCAAACACCTTGTACACATTAAATAAATAATCTAAAGAAACTGAAGGGGTAAAGTATTACTTGATTTAATAAGTTAATTCACTTCAAAAATTAATAGATTGTAAATAACAGTTGACAGGTTTCAAGCAATCAAAAATAGGTGCCCATTTTCAAGGCTTGCCATGCATGAATGAGAAGAAACAAACTACACTGTTTAATTTTTCTTGGTTACAGTGCCACCTAAGAAGCAAAATGCATAAACCTTTAAATCCATTTGTAGATATTTTTTTCTGGAGAATTCAAATCTGTAATAAAAAACAGGGGTTCGTATTTCAGAGTTGCCCCCTTCCCTTCCTGCAGGTGGTGTGGATGGAATATCAAGTTTAGTATCATAGGATAGTTTTTAAAATGCCTCTATTTCCAATTTTTCAATCCAAGGAAAAATTCTCAAGATATTTTACTGTTTCTAAACTTATTTATACCCTATATTTATTTAACTGTATCACTAGGGCGAGTGAATTGTGCGGAAAAGGGGATTAAGATCCTCCTGGCTTAGACTCTCAATTGGCACCTATGGCTGTCGGAGCTGTCCGAGGCTCACTAAAATGAAATATTACAAAATAACCACACTCTCAAAAAGTTTGTATAATTCCCTTTTCAGAATGCAAATAAACTTGAATTTATGGTGAGTTCTTAGAACATAATTGGATTTTTTTATTTTTTCACTTATATTCAGGTTTTGAATTTCGAGTAAATTTTTAAAAGGAAAATAGCAAATCAACTCTTAAAAATACAAGTTACTTACAAAACTATATATTTTATATGAATACCTAACTATAAAATTAGGAAATTAATTTTTAAAAATGACCATAAAAGCTTAAAAATTAAAAAAAATTTAAAACCGAAATTTAAATCTTCAACTGACCAATTTTGAAAATAGAAAATTTTGTCCTAAAACATTAGTAAGTTATGAATATATTTTAAAACAGTGTTTGTATTTCATTAAACAAATATCCAATGAAAAAAAAAAAAAGGTTAGTTCATATCCAATGAAAAAATTCATTCTAATAAATTTCCAACAATAAATGTTTCAGTTATAGTGATAAAATAATTAGAATGCAAATCACTAGAAATGAATTAACAGCAACATATACATATATTTATTTTGAATGCAACATAATATTAAGAAATAATACATTTTTGTTTTAGATACTAGAATTCATACATTTCTGTACAGATACTTAAAATAATTTTTAAATTAATAAATTAATATGATAAACACATAAAAACATAAAAGATAAAAATGTTTAAAATAAATATAAAAGTAAACATGAGACTAAAAGTTATGATGAACTTAATTATTATTGGTTACATATGCACAATTAGCTACTGCAAAATTTCAGTTTATTTATTATTGTTACAATCTATTCTCGATACTACAACCTCTGATGTGCAAATAAAAACAAACATTATAAGACGAAATCATCATATTGAATGTGCACAAAAATACCATAAATATTTAATTTTAACAAAATAAATATTAGTGAAATTTTAACACAACAATGAAGAATCAGGAAAATAGTAAAATAATTGACAAAAACACAGCTTGTTTTATTTGCAATAACACTATAATGAAGCATAAAATTATGAAATGTTAAAATAGCACTGTTTACTTTCATTCCATTTATAATTAAATTAAATCTCTATTTAAAAAAATCAGTTTTTTTTTATTTAACAACAAACATTAAGTATTTAGCAAAAGAGATTAAAATTTCCAAAAAAAAAAATAACTCTAAATCAGAAGAAAATAAAGTTTAAAAGACTAGACAATAAACTAAATATAATAATATCACAGTCAAATTAACTAGGTTGATTTTTTCTAATAATTCTACAATAATATTCTAAAGCTTTCAAATAAAAGAACACAAATTTTTAAAAACTTTTAAAAAGCAAAAAGTTTTACAAAAACCACAAATAAAATGATTGCTTACATTTATCAAAAGACATTATAGAGTGTAGACAAGCGCAAAAAGTCTCAACGTTAAGGCCAAAAATTTTCAATGTCTTACATTCTATTCTTAAAAAACCAAATAATTTTATTTTCAATTTTTTTTTTTTTTTTTGTAATTTCTCAATTTATTTTTGGAATAGTGTTATTAATGTGTGTGTGTGCAATAGTGTTGAAACAATGTAAAAGCATTTTTGTGCTACATAAATATGATTTTGTTCTGAATCTTTGTTCATAAGTATGTTACACCACGACACCCTGATACAGAAATTTTTTAGCTTAATATTTGTGCGCACAGAATATTTTTGGCTTTTACATTACTCTGATATATATGTAAATTGAAAACTACATATTTTTGTTCAGTATGAACAAAATAAATTAAATTTACATAAAATCAATAAGCTTTTTATTTAAACTTATGTGTAAAAAATAAATGAAATTCAAGAAAATTATTGAAATATTAAAGCTAAGTATTTCAACAACTTCCAGTCACCTGTAACTGTAACTTTACCATCCATATAAGCATTTAGAGGAGAGAGTTTTCCATTAAGAAATTCTCTTAAAACATGTTCAGTTAGCTCAATGTAGACATCACATACAATTGTACAGTTATCATCTTCAAAGATGGAGAAATTGTCTGAAAATTTGAAGAAAAGAAAAAAATAAATTTAAAAAAATTCTTTTGAACAATGAATAATTTACACAATTAAAAAGGTACCAAAATATTATTACAAAAATAATTTTTTAATGCACTTAAATTACATAATTACAAATGGAAATGTAATAATAACACTTTAAAATAATATTGCAAATAATTTTTAATAAGAAATAGTTTATTAGTTTTTAATGAAAATAATAATTTTTATTGAGTTATTAATAATTTTTACATTTTGTTTGAAAACAAAAATAATAGCTACAAATATTGCCGACATTCAAAAGTCAAAGCTACGTTCAAAAGTAAACATATAAAAATAAACAAATAAAAGGAAAGTTTAAATTTAACGTCATCAAACAAAGGTGGAAAAATTTATAACTGCAAATTTTTGTTTAGTATCATTATTATTTCAGTTGAAAAAAACAATAAAAATTTTCAATAACATTTCCTTTTTTTACTTGACATGTAAAAAAATTACATTTCTCAGCAGAAATTGTAGAGAACAGCAGAATAGCAGAAATTGAGTGTTGTGCTTTTTTTAAAAAATGGATAATTTTATAATTTATTCAATAAAAACAAAAAAATTATTACAAAATTGTTTGTTCATATTTTTATTTGTTCAATGTTATCACATACAAAATAAAGTAACTCAATGTATCACTTTATTTAACAATTGGTAATTAGAGTAAAGAATAGAAAAGCTTCAAAATGTTATTTTAGGTTCATTATTTTATGCAAATGATTTTAATTTTAGTCAGTATCATTTTCTTCCTGTGCTGACGCTATGTAATGATCGATGAATAAAATTTAGCGTCAATAAAAACGATCCCTACTGATATAATTATGTGTAAAAACTAATTTACCAATTATTAATGATAAAACTATTTTAAATAAATAACAATTATGCTTTTTATTTAAGTTTGCATTTAATTTTATATCATAAAAATTAGTTAGCTTTAAAAAAATGAGAAGAGGTTTGCTTACTTGAGAAGCATAGTTTTTTCAAAAATAATTTTTTTCTTGTAATTTAATTTTCAACTTTAAAAATAAATCATTGATAGTATTGTCTTTAGTGCACTCTGAAGTAGATTTCTTTTCGGGATCGTCAAAAAGAGATCTCTAAATTAGAATCTCACACAAATACTTTAAATACATTTTAATCTACTTATTTGTTTTGTTAATGTTTCTTCTTTTGATATTTTTTTGTGTTTTTAATTTGACCTTTTTTGCATTTGGTGTAGAGGTTTTCCCGGTAGCTGGATGAGGTTTAGATGATTCCCTCCTAAAGGTTTTCTTCAATACGAAGAAAAACTCCATGCCTCTCAAAAGTGGTCGTAAATAAAGGTGGTCGTACACAGAAGTAGTCTTTCCAGGAGGTTTCACTATATTACTTAAATTTGATTAAAATTTTAGTTTAAATAATCTTTCTCAAAACTAACCTTTATCAAAACAAAGATAGACTTTTCTAACAGAGTCACCAAGAATATCGAGCTGAAATTTGGCTATCAAATTGGTCAGTTTTCCTTCTTGATACACATTATTGGTTACACATTTTAAAATATCAAGAATATCATCTGAATTAGATATGTCTTGATGGGAACTTGATGCAGAAGTAGCAGATTCTGCTTCAGAAATGTCAGAGTTATCTAAAAAAAAAAATTTACCAATTTTAAACATTTTTGAAAACATGCATAGTAATAATTACATTAGTTAAAGTGTGTTCAAATTACTGAAAAAAAATTCTTTCCTCTTTTATAAAGCTGATGTTTAAAAAAAATCTCAAAATAAGTCAACAAACTTTAGCCTAAATAAAAATCAGCTTTTTTTCTCCATTTATATTATTTTAACTCATAATAAGTACAATAATTATAATGATTGATAACTGATTAGATTGATTTATATTCAGGTAATATCATGAAATGTAGAACTGAGTTGTTAAAGGTTTTAAGTGACATTTTAGTTTATTTATAGTTTATACCTTGCCTTAATTTTTTCTCTTTACTCAAGTTTCTAATCTGTAAAATCTATAAATCCCAGTTACACTATCACAACACTGTTTGCAACCCAATGTTCACACTTTCAGCATTTTAATTTGCTGCTAAAAATAGGTTTTTTAAGATTACTTGTTGACTGTTTGTTACCAAATGCTCTTGAAACTTTCTTCCACACTGAGAAAACTTAAGAAAATCGTTTATAAACTTTCTGTAAAAAATTTAGAGGCTTAACAAAATAAATGAATAATGAGCAATTAAATAGGCTAAAATATAGTTTTTCTTTGAGTAATGCCAATTTTTTAAAAAAAACACTTAAAACCCTTTTCTATTAAACTCTTTAATAGTTTAATATATAAAACAGACTTGAAAATGAGAACTAACTTTCTGTTGCCGTTGTGTTTGGTATAAAAGGAAACATAGGAGGTGATGCATCAGAAGATTGCCCTGTAGCTGCCTTTAAAGCTGTCATCAAAGTTCCAATGGCATCAATTGGTTCAGCAGCCTTTAAAACTTTAATAGAATGGCTACAAAAAATAAAACAAAATCATATTATATTATTGTTTGCAAAATTTCTCATTAACAGACATTTTTTTTTTATTAATGGAACTATTATCTTTTATTCATTGTAATTTAGATTATATTATTATAAGTGGAACATTCACAAAAAGATCTGACCGCGAAATAAGTGTAATGAAACTCATTTAAACTGGCTATATTAATCCATAAATTTCATTTAATAATTACTCTAAAGAAATTAAGTTTATCACAATTGTAGTTAAAAGTCAAAAGTAATAAATATATTTCACTTAAATTTTTATTCATGTTATAATTTTTTATTTAATTGATAATATTTCTATTCATGCATTATATTCAGGGTGCGTAGCCAAATCCTTCAACAAAAAATAAGGACTTTTTAAGTACTTTTTAAGCACTCAAAAATATTTTTAAGCACTATATACATTAACAAAATGCAAAATAATTTTCAAATACTTTACATGATTAAATTATTAGTTTCGGACAAAGAACTCTTTTTCTTGATTATATTAGCCATTATAAAATGATGAAGAGATTTTTCAGTTTGATATAAGAGGGAAATTGAGAATGTCTAACAAAATGCAACAGAGTTGCACGTGAGAGTGCAATAATCTTACCAAACCAAGCTCAGTAGACGCACATGTGAACTCGCAAGTATTTCATCAAACATTTTAAATTATTGGATTTTTCATGCGCTATGGACTGACGGTTCGCCAAATTAGAATGTTGAATGAATTGTGAAAACGTTGAATAGAACAATGTGAAAAGCCCGCTTTTGCATAATACGTGGCAAAAATCGACATGGTAAAGAAAAAAATTTAATTTTCGAAAAGAGAAAATTAAGCCCTTTTTAAAAGCATCCAATGAAAAATGCACCTTTGGGCTTTTAAAAATGAATATCGAAAATAAGCACCTTTAAGCACTTTTTAAAAACGCTATACACCATGATATTTAATAAATTCAATTACCTGAACAATACAAAAATGAACAACAATAATTTTACATATCACAAAAAAAAAATGAAATGAAATGTATGGATTTGAAGAGCAGTCAAACTCTAGCTTTTTTTAAAGCTGGAATTTCCTCAAATAGTTCTAAAAATTTATTAAACTATACAGAAATATTTTACGATTCCTCAATAAGATATGACAAAACTTGTAAATTAAAATACAAAATAAAATCCCCACATATAACTATAATTAAAAATTGTGGGCATTTCTGAAAAAGAAACATTAGTAAAAGGTGAAATATTACACTGGAAATTAGACAGAAACAGTATAAATAAAACATATATTCTAACAAAATTATTTTAAAACTTACAGGTTAACATTTATTATCTCCAATCCCCACTTTAAAGCACTGCGATTAAGTTCATTCTAAAATAAACACAAAACAAAAATTAATCAATTATTTATTTCACTTAAATGTTCATGGGTACAAGAAAATAGATCATCCTAAATACATAAAATTGATTTCATTTCTGTGAGAAACAATATAAAAGAGACTAAATTTTATTATTTTTTAGTAAAATCGATACAGAATAAAGAAATTTTAAACTTTTACTGTTAAATAATTATGTTATAATAAATTCTAACTTTATAGTCTAAATAGAAATATTCTAAAATAGAAATATTAAAATTTTAGAAAAAGTAACTACAAATACATTTTAGAGTTGTAATAATTTAATAGAGAGATGACGAAACATTAGATGCTATACAATGGAATTAAAAACTTGGGTAAACAGTGATAGCCCCTATCTTATAGAAATTTCCCAATTAAATTGTAAATAATTTATGTTCATCAAGGGCTTTCTTTTAGTTCAAGTAATATTTAGCAATAAATCTTCAAATTTAAAATATAAATTGATTATTTAAATTGATAATTTTGTTATTTAAAGGAAATATAAATTGATTTATATTTTCTTTAAATAACAAAATTATTTAAAGAAAATATAAATCAATTATCTATAAATTCCAAAAATGGGGGTTTAACTCTTCACCCTTAGATGTCTTTCATTCTGACTTAAAATCCTAAAAATAGTGAATAAAAGAAAAATTTGAAATCAAAACACATTCTTTACCTTGAAACTAAAATTTATAATTTCTCTCTTAAGTTCAAGATCATCTTGGTCTTTCTCAGATATTATATTTCCAAGGCAAAATTGGCTCAAATCCTTTAAGGTGCTTTCCTGCTGACGAAGTTTCATAACATAATTAATGACATCTGATATACGATATTCAATATCTGATTTCACCTCCACAATTGCTCTATCAGCTGTTAGAGACTGCAATAGAAGCAAATTTTATTAGTTCTTTATCATAACTTAACCATAAAATTGCACAGAACTGCAATATTTACTTTCATAAAAACTAAAATACAACAGTAAAAATATGAACAAGTGATATGTTATGATCATATTAAAATGTCCATCAACAACTTGCAACTGAAATATTAAATTAAATGTCGTGTAACGTAAACAAGAGGAAAAAGCAATACTCCTCATATTAGAGAAATTACACAGATAAAATTTCAAATTATGTATAAAACATACAACTACTATACAGAAAATTATGGTCAAATGATATTTTGAGCATCAATTATAATTATTTATTTGAAAACTTTTGAAATGTTTTATTATAAAATAGTGATTGAAATTTTTAATTCTAAAAACAATTAAATTTAATCTTTTAAGAAACCTATCTTAACAAAAATTCACACACTCTTAAAACTACTGAGATGAGTAAAAAAAATTTGCGCTTTTTTTAGTTTTTTTAGTTGCAACAGATGGCAGTAGCACGGTTTCTGAAATACTTGAAAGGTTTGCAATATAGTTTTTACGTCATTGATAGCTGACAGTGTAAGCATCATAGTAAAAAATAAATTGAGATATTTTGTTGAGTGTTGGAGCTTTGACAGCACTTTGAAATGAAAGATCAAAGTGTTCATTTTCAACATATCTTATTATTTCACTGCCGTAAAGTGCAAAACAGTGCCTCAAGCTTGTAAAAAATTGCGTAAAGTTTATGGTGACGATGCTCACAAGAACATTAATGCCAAAACTGATTCAAGAAATTCCAAATTGGTTTTAATTTAAAAATGCTACTTGATGACGAAGGCATACCTGAATTGATGATAACAAAATAAAGACAATGATCCAGTCAAACCTACATTACAGAACACAAGAGATTTCAGAGACATTGACGATGAGGCAAAAAAATGTCTACATCCATCTGAAGTAACTTGGAATCATAAGCAAGCTCGAAATTTAGGTTTCTCATAAACTCAAAGAAATTCATTTGATGGCACGATAAAAACACCTGTGTTGTGCTCATGAAATGCCAAGAAACGAGAAGTGGATTTTTTACAACAATATGGTGCGCAAATGATTTTGGTCCTGAGGCGAAGATTTACTATCTACGACATAAACTAGAATTTCATCAGAGGAAGGTTAGGTTCCCAGCGTGGTGAAATTGAAAGGGTGTGATGTTTTTTGAGCTCCAAGCAAGGGAAAGGAACAATCAATTCAGATGTAGGCAGTTTGGATGAAGCTGTCATCCAGAAACATCCTGAGCTCATCAATGTAAAGGAGTAGTGCTCCATCAGGACAATGCGACACCACAAACATCGCTGGCGACCTGTCAATAGTAATTGGAACATGGATGGAATATTTTCTCACCCACCATACTCACCAGACATTGCACCGTCAGACTTCCTCTGGTTTCACTCTTTTTAAAACTTCTTGGGTGGAATAACGTTAAATTCAGATGAGATTATAAATCAGCATCCTGTTCAGTTCTTAAAAAATAAAGCCAGACCTTTTTACGAATAAGAAATGAAGCTCAATGACAAAAGGTCATTGAACAAAAGGGAACATATATCATTGCTTAACTTTAAATTATTATGTAAATATATGACTTTGAAAAATATAGAAAAAAAAAGTAGATGAATTTTACTCAACCCAATATTTATAGTAAATAAGTCTTAAATTCAAAAATTTTAAAATTTTTCCATAGGAAACATTACTATCTATAATACAACAGTATGCACAAGACAAAATTTTTACCATAAACCTTTAAAACAAAATTATGAGTTTACAGATACAAACCTGAGATAGTGAAATGGTGAAGCCTTTTGGTTTTAAATCAACTTTAACCCATTTATCAATGCAGGGTAGAATAATTGCAAATCCTAGATAAAATAATTATTCATTAATTGTGTAGTGAAATTTTAAAAGAAAATAATGAGACTTTATTAAAAAATTAAACCAAATCCACTAAATAAGGAACATAAAATAATGGATATAAGAAATCAATAAGGATAACAGTAATGAATATCAAGAAGTGTTTGATTTCTCATATAATTCCATTTTAAATATCATTTAATAATGACTATAGTACCATTCAAGTGAAATTTTCAATACAGTTCTTTTAATCAATATGATTGAGTTGTATTTTTTTTTATAAGGAGATAAGAAATAAACTTGGATCCATATAACACTCTAATATTAATTTTTATTGCAACAAACTTTCACATGAACTTAAAAATATTGCTATCTCAAACATATTTTCAAATGACATTGTTTGACCTCAATGCAAAGTTGTAAACGTGTAACAAAATTTCATACTATGGGCAATAACTCAATTAGTGATATTTTGCCCTATTCCTTGCACAAAGATTTCTTTAAGCATACCAAGAATTTTTTTAATAAAATTTCATAAAGTACATAAGTCTCATGAAAAATGACACAAGCTCTTGTTTTTGAGATAAATCAAACAGAAACATCCATTGAATTCAAGCCCAGTGTATAAAGTGGTCATTCTTGGGCTAAAACTCAATGAAATAAGTCTTGCAAAAAAATTTCATTAACTCTGGGTGCTGGAGCAAAACCTGTTGGAAGTTTCTTTTTTTTTTTTTTAATTTTAGACATACTTTGTGATTAAAGAATCATAACATTTTCCAAAAATAAGTCTGTAATGTGTTCTGATAAAAGCATTTAGTTTCTTAAGTTCAATAAAATAATAAAATCGAAGTTCTTAAGTCATCTTAATCACTGCTTGCTACCCTGCATTTGACTACTTGTTGTTACAATTTTTAACAAAAATTAGAAACTGTCACTTTATGTTCCTTCGTTTTCAAATTGTGCAATTTTATTGACATAAATAAAGAAGAAGAATCACATAGAATACAGAAAATGTAACATTATTTCCCTATGACTGATTAGAAGTTTTTAAAGGAGAATCATATTTTTAGATCAGACTAAAAAATATTTTTTTAAAACCTAAAAAATAGCTTTAAAAAATGAAGAATATTTATATGCTGCATAAATCTTAAAAATTTTTAAATCTTTTTTTTTAAAAAAATAGTTAACTGTTAAGAATACTTCTATTTAAGTCAAAAATCTCTAAGAAATGTTATTATTTGAAAAATATATTTGGAAATATAGAGGGAAAAAATTAGCAGTTCATTTTGCAGCTATTAAAAAAATTTTATTGGCGAACTTTCTTCAAACTATTTTATGTGTATAAATAAACAATGATGGTGTTAGAACATTTTTCCAAACTTCTGTAAATTTTTTTAAAATAATAACATCAAAAGTTTACATTTATTTTGAAATAAGATAAATTACCTGGCCCTCTCACTGGTTGTAACTTTCCGAGTCGTAACAAAACTAGCCTCTCCAGAGCATGAATTTTCTAAAATATATAAGATTATAAGGTAAATAGAATACATTTCATCTTACAAAAATTTAAAAACATTTATATACATAGAGTTAATTAATTTCTTACTTTTAAGCATATAAAAACTGAAATTGGAAACAGTAAGACTGCCAACATATACAGAATGCAAGTAATCGTATATCTTACAATCAGAGATGTCCATTTCTCTTTACGATCAATTTCTAAATAGTAATAAGAACAATAAATAACTTAGCATTTTATAAAATAAAAATAACACACGGTAATGGAACTAGTTTTTAAACATTAAACTAAAAAAAGAAAAAAAATTTAACTTTTCTATTGATGCACAGACATGAAAGCAAAACAGAAGAAAAGGAAATAAAAAAATCAGAAGAATGCATTTAAAAACGAGTTAACAATGACTTTTTTTGTGAACAACAAAATGAATAATTAACAATCTTTTTGTTTATAAGCGGCTTCATAGCATGAACAGTATAAATTTTATACTATATATTCAAAACAATCAGAGCTTCGATTTAATATTAAAAGATGGATAGATTAAGAAGTATTTGTAAAATGTCCAAATTGTCATGGAGTCATAATATGTCAAGAACTTAGTTTTAACTAAATTATGACACAATATATAAAATTCTTAATAGAGGCTCAAGTAGCAAAACAGTTTAATTTACTAAACATATCATACAAAAATTAATTACTGAACATTCTCCCATTAAGCTGCCTCCAAAGTGCCTCAATCTTTATAAATTAGAAGAAAACCAGGCCCTAGTAAATTATTGTTACAAGTTAGGTAGTAAAAGATATGAAGTTTGAAAAGTATGAAAAGTGTTTTATTTGAGAATTGAATCTATTATGAGTTATAATAGCACAAGGTCAACAAAAAAAAATATGTCAACACCAAGCAAGTGTTTTATTTAGTAGATCGTCATGCTTATTAAATTAAGTTAATCTTTGCAAAATTAAAAAATTCTAGATGTTTAAAATAGTGGTGTCTAAAATTTATCATACTAATCCTAAAAATCAAAAGCTCTCAATGACATTATTATAGGTCATTTAACATGGTAATAAAAATTAGTAGACTAGACCAAACATTACCAAAATCCTCATCTGATATTGTAATTGCCTGGTAGGAAAATACTGATCTGTATTCTTGGTTAAATGACTTCTTTTTAATGTGTGCAGCACCATATTTAAATGGAGAAGAATAATCAAAGATTGAGCAGAATTCTTTTTCTGTCACCATGGTTTAAAAGTAAGTCAACACCATTAAAGAAGGTAACTACAACAGAAATAAAATCATTGAAATGTTATTAAAAGTAATAAGACTAAATTATAATCGAGAAAATGAAAAACAAATGAATTTATTCATTATTTACAAAAATTACAGCTGATATATTAAATGTATAGCAACATTTCTTAAATTTTAAATAATTATATTCTCGGGGTAAGAGATTTGATTTAGAGATCTTTAATCAGTAGACAACTTATGATTTCGGACACTGATATTGAACAAAATTTTCTTTCTATCAGAATTAATTAATTAGAATTTAAAAAAATAAAAGAAGAAAATTACAATCAAAATAAATTGATGAATATCTTTAAAAGTATATATATATACATTAAAATATTGCACAATAAACTTTTTTTAAAGTTACATAAATCATTTAAAAATGGAACAATAGGAAAAACATTAAACACAGAGATATTTATGCTTGATATCAGTCTTAAATACAAACATAAAAAACTCAAAAATGAGCCATCACATTTTGGTACATATGTTTTCCCAAACTCAGTATTAAAAAAGATTTTGCTGAACAAAAGAAGGATACATTCATACAAGTTTGTTAATTTATAAAAAAATAAACAGGATACAAATAGTTTCAAGCAGTCAACAACTATAAAATAGAATTATTAAGATTCTAAAGTAAATTTTAGAACTGTTTGATTTTTTGAAACATAATAGGTATGAGTTTAAAATCTTAAAAATAATTTTAAAAATAGAAATGTAAAATAAAGAAATTTGTTATTTGAAATTTGTTGTAATAAAGAAATTAAGTACTTATGATTAACCCTTTAATTTGAAGAATGGCAGATTAAAAATTCACAAACTTGTATGATGAAATAATTTTAAATAAGGGGTTTAGATCTATGTGAATTCCCCTTATCTTATCATGAAAATAAAGCTATTCTTATCTTTATATTTTTCAATTTAACTGAAGGCAATATTTATTTTTCAAAAAATTCCCCTCCGCAGAGGATCAAAATTGTGATGGCATGTCTTCGGATCATCCTCAGGGATGTTTCCCAGACCATCGCCAATATCCCATTGTGCAGCTCTAGTGCGACGTAAATGAACAACAACAGCAACAAAAATTTGTTTTTAAATTACGAAATTTTAAGGACTAGTTCATGGAACTTTGGGGATATGCTTACAGACTACATCTCCTCACTGAGTAGTACCCTACTAATGAAAATTTGTAACCATAGTATTTTTGGACTATAAATAATTTATATATTAAAAACTACAGATTATGGTTAATGTTTTAAAAGAAAACTTTTATTTTTTCTTCTTAATAAAAGTAATATGGAAAAACAAAATATCAATACAATATATACCATTATGAGTATAAATTACAAGCAAAAGAAATTATAAGTGCATAGCTTGAATAATCCTAACCTCCGTAATAAATTTCAAATATAACTCATTTTACTTTAAAACTTTTAGATCATATCAGATCTAATCAGAATTACTTTATAGGTACAGGAAATGATCATATGTCTTTTTTCAGCAAGTTAATTTAATAAATAATGTAAAATTTTCGCATTACTTAAGCGAAACAGTTTCGTTCACTCTTTTAGAAAACAAATTGCATAACCAAACGAAATTTGCTATAAATATAAATAAACATTACTGATCAATAAATCAATCAACATCAATTCTAATCAATAAAACTCAGTTTTCCACTTTTACCCTTTTGTTATATGATGCAATTTAAACCGAATAATCTGAAATAGGATGTAAAACTCAACAAATTGTTTATTTTTCGAACTAAAATATGTATTCCAGTTCTTTTTGTTGCAAGCATATGCTGTGTGAAAATCACTAACTACAACTTAAACTTATAAAATTTGTAAACAAAATCGTTGCATGTGGATAATGTGTGTTTGGGATTGATTTCAGCATTTTTATCTTTTTTTTTCCATTTTGATACTTTTTAATAGAAATTTTTTATATCTACATACTGTAAAAGATGAAAATCATTGATAAGAAAATTAAAAAACTCATAAAATCTGCTGCACGGAAAAATCATCGTTTATTAATTGTCATTTTGGGCATCTCTGGATTCCATAGTGTTAGTGATGATTTTATTTTATGTTGACATATTTACCAGTGTGTATTGTAAATTTTATTCAGGGAAAGATTGGGAAAAAGTTCAAAGAAAAATTAAAAATGTAACGCATTAAATTTTCATTAAAATAGTATTCGCGTAAAAGTCGAAATAGGCATGTTTTTGTAAAGAAATTTGCAAGTTTAAAATAAATCAATAGTTGGCATGACTGGTCACGAAACGGAATTCTTCTTTTCTAATAAGAATTGTTGATTATTTTAAAATGTAATTTTGAACAATTTTTCATAGATTTCAAAAGAAAGATTGGTTCTATGAATCTTAATACTTGCATTGACTAATGCTTAAAATTAGCAGTTACTTCAGATCAATATACCTGGGTATAAATTAGTACTTTTTGTCATCGGTTACTTTCAATAATATGAAGTTTAGCACTAACCTATGGAAAGATGAAAATTATTTATATTTTTGTATGACAAAATAATTTAAATTACTGTGGAGGACATTTCCGTGTTGGCGAGATTTCTGTATCGTGATCTGTGACCCGCGAAAAACTAAAAAAAGAAAATCACAGAAAAGGACCAACTTCAAAGGTATAACTTACTGCCACTCCTGGGCAAACATCTATAATTTTTTTTTTAAGTTTTCTAGTTTAAAATCTAGTTGGCACCTTGGCAATTGTAGTTTTCGCAACAGATCACAATACAGAAATATCCACTCCATAAGGGTATACATTCCTTAATTCTTAAACTGAAAGTAAAAGATTTTTTCTTCGTCTTTGGTGCTAAATATGAAGTTAAGTTTTAAATTCATGTATTGATCAAAGACATTTTAAAAACTACATATAATTCTTTGTTTCTTTCTCTTATTTATTAAAAAAGTTAATTAAAATGTTTCCTTTCCAGATACCATCAATTCATCAGCTCCTGACTAAAATAAATAAAAAAGAAATTACAACTCTATGGTGCTCAAGAGATGGGGTTTCAACACCAAAGTAATTATGAATTTTAATTCAAATTTAAAATGAGTTGAATTAAAGTGTTTATAAAAAGGATTGTTTGAGAAATCATACAGAACTCTCTACATTTAAAAAAATTTCTTCAAATGATATTTATGATGAATTTATTTTTCAGACCCAGAAATGTATTAAATTTAAAATATACCTATATATATCAGGATTTTTTAAAATGTGTATTATTGTTATTTACTTATAATCTGAGGTTTCCTAAAATATTTTTTTAAGCAAAAATCTAAATCTTGGTGACTTTTATTAAATGACATTGCTTAGAATGAACTTTTATTTTTAATTATTTCAAATTTGAGAATTTATTTATTTGAATATTTATTATAGCAAATACCAAATAGTACTCAATGGGATTTCTTTTTAAAAACCAAATCTCGTTTTGAACACATCTTTGTTGAGAAAGATTTCCTCTTTAAAAAAAAAAAAAAAAAATTTCAAATTTATGCAAGAAATTTCAAGATTTTTTAATGAATCTTGCATTAAAATTTAAATATTCTATTTTGTAAGTTTAGTTAATTTAAAAGAGTATTAATAAAATTCTCTTATGCAAGCTATGTTTTTTTTATTTTTATAAAAGAAAGGGGACTGCATATTGTACCACCTCTTGTATTATAACAAAACTTTGCAATAATCAATAAATCATTGTTTTAGATCAAAGGATGAAAAAGACCATTGTGATCCTGATATCAGATCGTTAGATATATTGGATTTTAAACCATTATATTGTTCATATAAGTAAGTATTTCATGTTAGATTTTTCATTATTTATTGTTAAATTTCTATTATTGATTCATTATAATTAAAATAATTGATTCCAATAAAATTATGTCTGAATATTTAATGTTCCTAGTCCCCCCCCCCCATTTCCTCCCCAAAAAAACGTTATCTAGAATATTCCACTTTTTTTTTTTCTCATGTTGTATTATGATTCAGATCTTTTTACCATTACCATTTTTGAGTAATTATGCCATTTCAAAGTGATACGCCTCATCATTAATAATTTGAAACTTTAAATTTTAGCGTATACGATGGTATCAGATGGTACAGCTTATCTAGTAATTTTTTTTACTACTTGCTTGAAAATTCTATTTTGTTGAACTGATTTTCCACAATTTCATTATCACCCTTCCTTTTTTTAAAATTTTTCACAGTGATCTATTTTTATGCTTCAAGCTCAATAATAACGTAAAGAATTAACTATATCATTTGATATGTTAAAATTTTAGGAATTCAAGATTAGTATTAAGAAACATAATGCATTAGATTGTTCTATGAAGTACAATTTTGCACAAAACAAGCTTTATTTCCTTTCATTCAATTATTATAATTTTTTTTATTTTATTGTGAGGATCTTTAGCAGTTTTAATTATTTGATTTGATAATATTTTAGTATTTCAAATCTAATTATAATTAAAAGAAGTGATGCAATTCTGATTGTTCTATATTGTATAATTTTGTTTAAGTAAGGTTCTTTTCATTAATTTATTGTATTTCAAAAGCATATTTTAATTAAATTTATTTTCTGTATATTTATAATAATTATTTTTAACCACTTAATTTTATAAATAAATTTGTTTTCTGTAACAATACGTTCAATCTGTGATCGTTCACGCAGTAAATTTTTGTGCAATGTATCCGATAGTGTTGTCTATCTGATGAAAAACTTTTCCTTTTCATTCAAATTTTGTTAGTGTGGCATATATTCCAGGCTGGCTTACCTCTACAAAATTATGGTATTTTTTTTAACATCTCTTAAATGAGAAAAGCTTGGTAATTTAGTAAATCCAGTGTTAATAACCAGTGTTTGCCAAAGTTATTTCTTATTGCTTAATGCAAATTTATGTTATTTCTTATTGCAAAGTTATTATTTACCCCATATGGGCTTTGAAATTGGCTCAATATGTGTCCTATATGAACATGCTCCGAGGGACCAATATTGGGATGTCAAGATTTTTTAATATTGGTCCTATGCAGTATCAATATTGACCTATATAAGACAATAGTATATTGGTATAATATATTGGTTGACATAATAATATATTGATTGAATAATGATTATAAAATATCGAGCAAATCTGACAATTCTATATAGGACTGGTATTGATTATAAAGTGGCAGTAAAGTATTGGGTGAAACGAACAATTCTATATGGGGCCCATATTGGAAAATATCGGCCCTTTCAACCTTATGGAGCCAAAATTCTTGAATATTGGTCCAATGATTATTTTGCTACTAGGCTACTATTATTTCTTGTTTTTACTTCTTATTTTTAGTATTTATGACTCCATGACTTATGTTTTATTTTTAATGAAGTTTTATTAAAAATGGTTAGTTAAGGGTTTTTCGCAGCACCCTGTATAAATACAAATGAGGATTTTTTTTCAAAAGAGTTTTAATGCTTTTTTTTAATTTATAGCACCTAATTACTATCTGCAGTTTTACAGATTTCTCACAGTATACAGAACTTTAAAAATAAATAAGAAAAAGAAGAAATTGTGTTAAATGAAAATTTGTGCTTTAATCTTCGAATTGTTTCTCTAATTATGTATAGAATCTTGGCAAACAAAAAGAAAAGGATTACATTGAAAATTCATTTTGGAAACTAACATTTTTTTTAATGTCCAGGTTTAAAGGAATTTTAAGAATTGAAGAATATCTTTAAAAATTACCCAAAAAGGGGCTTGAATTTAAATGCTGTTTAAGATATCGAATCCTGTAGTAAGAAAGTTTGAATTTGCATACTAACGGTAGACATACCTGAAAGCTATTTTTGTCATCAGCAATCCATTACCAGTCACATAAAAAAAAATTGAATCTATTGTTTATGTTAATAATCTGGCTGCTAAATGTTGTTTTTATTCTTTTTCATATTAGTGATCTTGGAAGTATATTGCATGAAGCATATGGCGTGGTAGTTCTACAAGATCTTGATGCATCAAACGTACTTTTGCTCAATACTGTTTTACCTAATGTAAAAGGAGGTGGAGCTGTTATACTTCTTTTGCCTATGATAAATAGTATTGAAGAACTGAATTCTTTTTCTTTGGTATGTTTTTTTTTTTAAATATTTATCATACGTAAATAATAATTTAAGTTTATATTTTAAATATATTTATATCTATCTATATGCATTCTAGGCACTGTAAATATTAATTTTAGGGAAGGGGATTCTAAATTATAAAGCAATTTTTACCAAATTATAAATAATTATTTACTTATAAATATTGTAAATAATTATTGTAGCTATATAAATATGGCTAAAAGCAGAATGGAAATTGAATATATGATGTTTTCCTGGAAAAAATAGTTTAAATTAAATTTAAACAACAAAATCCTCATTAGTTTTAATTTTGCTTTGTTGAAATTATTGTTTTTAAAATAATTTCATGAGCAGACTTTTACTTTTTACAAATGCGAATTTACAATTTGTCAGCCTTGTTTTCTACTTGCAAGTCATTATAGGTTAACAATTTAATTATTTAAATCAATAAATAAAATTAAACCAACATAAGAACATCAATTAAGGAATTCAAATTGTTAGTTTTATAAAATTGTCATTGATAACTAACTCTTTGAAGCATTTATTTCTTTTCTCCTAGCAACATTGCAAAATCAATCTATGTCAAATTTCAAAACTTATTAATTAGAAAATTTTGAAGTTTTTCATTTGGTGTTTGAAGAACGAAATCTGGGGGAAAATTGAAGAGTAGAATTTCATTTGTTTTTCCCATTTTAGTAGCCTTACAGTTTTCTGCTTATTATTTACTAACATTATAACTTTTGGGTAATTAATTAGCTCTTGGAATTTTATTATATTATTAATTTCTTAAAAAAGAAAATGAATTTATTATCCTGACATTAAAAATTTTAATTGTATCTAAAGCTACATTAATTTTATAAATTTGCAATGAAAGTATGTCCAATTAACAGTTTTAAATTGATATTTAAATAATTTTTTAAAAAAATACTTCTATCTTAAAACAGATTATTCAATTAACTAAAAATGAAATTGTTAAAAATATACATACTTCTTTTGGAAAATAAGGATAATCTAAATTTGAATTAAGAGTAAATTATTAATAGTGTCTGTACTTAAAATATAATTTTGTATAAATTTTAGAATTCTGTTTAAAACTGAAATAAATAATATGAAAAAAGTTATTGTTTCAAAAAATCAGATGTTAATAACTTTTAACTTTCTTTTACTATCTTAAATTTCATTTAAGTTAAAACTATTTTTATTTTGCTTATTGTTAAACAATTTTTAGTTTCTTCCAGCATCCTGGTTTTTTCTGGTAGAAAACTCAATCCTGTTATATACATTTATTCGAAAATGAAACCTATTTTGTGTACCTAGTTTCAATCTTGATCTGTTTATTTTAATTTTCTGATTTTAATCAAGTAGCCATTTCTGTAAACTCATGCTCAATTACTATAAAAAGTTTGTTATTTATAATATTAATGATTTAGATGTAAAATGCAATATTTATTTATTATTAAATACAATCAATTTTTTATTTAGCAAAGAATCTGAGTTTATCAATTCATTCATAATGGTTTTCTCCTCTTATAGAATAGTGATAAACATTCTTCGAGATTCGGGAAACGTTTTATCCAGTCCCTTGATTTGTGTTCAAACTTTTTAGTAATAGATGACAACCTTAATTTGCTATCTTCTAAGATGACTGAAAAAACAGATGAAATGGTGAGTGATATATTTCTTATTTATGTAGTCAGTTGATTTTTTTTTGCTGCTACTTTAGAAACAAGTTTGTTATGTATCTGCACCCATTTTTTGAGAATTTTTTTCTCGCCAACATCAGTAATAATGACTACCTTTGTGGGGCTTCGATTTTACTTGTGCATGCAGGTGAGAGTGATTTAATAATGGAGAGAGTGGGATGTGCTTCCCTTAAGTCGTAATCTGTGTTTATTTTAAGTTTAAGCTTGAGTGCCAGTTACAGACGTGCCAACCTAACAAAATTAACATTCAGGAGTTTNGCAAAATGCGGGAGAGTTGGCACGTCTGCAGTTATAAATTTCCCGAGAAATTCACTACATTGATGTTTTTTTTTTCAATCTATATACACTGTGTGGATAGATAAAGAATGCTCTAATTAATTTTGAAGTGATGCAAGGAATCCGCTAGAAGTGATGATTACATATGTACGTATGATTAGAATAGAAGTATGTCTTTATGTTTAGTAGACTAATTTAATTAGAGGCTCAGTGTATCAAACATTGATTTTTTTAGGGTCAATAAAGTGGACTTTGAATTTTACACAGTCCTGTGATTTTTCCACTAATTTGTGGAATTCCGCAAATCAAAATTTTTTTTCCTCAACTGAATTTTCTCGGGAGTTCCACTAATCTGAAAATTAAATTTAATATCTTTTGCAAAATCCTGTTCCCTTTTTTTTCCTTCCAGTAATTCTTCAACACCCCAAGACAAAACAATAAAATTCCTTAATAAATTCATAATGCAAGAAGTATCTCCAAAAATCTCCATGTTGCCAAAAAGAGATTGTTTGACCCCAAAAAATGATGTTCTTTTGTTTTATTTTAATATAAATTTTATAAATTCCAATTTGTTAGCAAAGAATTATTAAATCAATGCAGTATATTTTTTATTTGCCTTGCTAATTGGGATCAATATTTTAAATTATATTATGACAAATGATATTATGACTATTATTTATCTTCTCCATAAAAAGAAATAAGTATTAAAAAGAACTGTGGAGAAAAATTGTTTCATTCGAAAGTGATAATATCTAACCACGGAGTTTCTAAAAAATTTCAGATAATTTCTTCATCCAGCAATTGCATATCTATTTATAGGGTTGCAATATTTGATTCCATTTTGAGCAATAGTGCAGACACTTAACAAAATAGTTTCTTACTTTATGTTGTTGAGTAATGCGAGAAAAGAAAAAATGTAATCTTCTTAATCTTGACTATAATATTAATTTTGATTTTGAATATTACAAAAGAAGATAAAATCTATATTGTAAACCTCATACGATGAAAGGAAGGGTTTTATGTTTAGTATAATCAAGCTAATTGCAAGAAATTCTAATATATCTAAAAACATTTATATGAATAATTTTTATTCAAGTTAAATAAGTTACATAAACCTGTAGTATTATCTATTTATTTTATTTATTTATTTTTTGTTGAAAAAAATGAACTTATTTACCTAAAATTTGATTTGATTTGAATGACTATTAACTAACAAATGTAATTAAATTGTATGCAAAATCATTGAGTTAAAATATAATATTAAGAATGAGATAATATGTATAAAAACAATGTATATTCAAGTCCATTTCGTGTTTTAAATGTACTCTTATTAGTGTAATATAGTTTTGTATTTTATAGAATTTAAAATGTTATTTTGTAAAATTTACTGGATTTTTTTATGTTGTTAGCAATGATAACAAATGTTTTCAGTTTAACTTCATAATTTTGTTCATTTTTATAGATGGTGCTTCCTTCTTTATCTGAAAGAATAGAATCTATAAAATCCAGATGTGAAGATAGTACTGTGCAAACTTTACTTGATTTATGCTTGACTGCAGATCAAGCAGAACTTTTGTACAAATTACTGGACGTATTGAAAAAGAGATCTTTTCATTCTGTTGTGTCCGCTGCATCAGCATTTGGTCGAGGAAAGTCTGCAGCTTTGGGTCTAGCGATTGCTGGTGGCATAGCTATGAACTATTCAAACATATTTATTTCGTCATCTTCCCTTAATAATGTTGACATACTTTTTAGATTTCTTCTTAAAGGCTTAGATGCTCTTAACTATGAAGTTAGTTTTTCTTATTTTAGTTTATTTTTCATTAATTGACTATTTACTAATTTCTCTGCAACTTAAATAGTTCAATTATATTCTTATTTTCATTTAATTAAAAAAATTGATGCACTTATAAATTTAAAATGTTTAAATATTGGGAAAAAATAAATACATTTTCATACTTGAAATATTTTTGTATAATTGTCTATAAAAAAATAAATTTCAACACATTTTTTAACACCAATATTTTTTAACCTAACTAATTTTTTAATCCAATCTTTTTCTATTGTAATTATAGTTTGACACAAAGCGTTAATGTTAAGAAAACATCACATGCTGATCGTTTATGTTTTAAATATAATATCTTTAGAGCACTCTATCATGTGATATAACAACATTTGTGTGTTATAATGTATGTCCATACCTTAGTGATATAAAGTATTCTATGATTGTAATAATGCTGAACTGTGCTTCCTAGTATGCATTATTATTCCTAGTGTATATTTGCATTTTAAACTTTTTTATTATATATCTGTATATGGGCAAAGCCTCCTGGCCCCCTCACCACAACTCACCCCTATAATACTCTGTTACTCCTACTCACTCACGGGTATAATGTTTTGTTTCTTAATAATTTTTATTTCTCTTGTTTAAAAATAATTTAAAGAGGTAAATTTATCTAATTTATTTTTATATTGTTATGATAAACGCATTGAAAGCGTACTAAAGTAGGATTATGCTTCGTCGGAAGTTTGCCCTATAGAAAAAATTTTGTTGTTAAGTTGGAAATGTGAAATCATTATCTTTCTTTATTTCTGGTACTTTTGATTAGTTGTTGTCTGGTGTTGATTGATTCCAGTATTCTTTTTTACTTGCTGCCTGGCAATAGCATCAGGTTATAATGATAGTCGACAATTTTTCTTTTGAGGTAGTCAATTGAAAGTGTTAATGTTTATTCTTACTGTTTTGTTTAGAAAGAGAAAAATATTAGGCATGGTTTGATATGATATATGATTGCAATTAGAAACGTTTAAATACGTAAAGTTGTATCTCTGATATGGGTTTTACTTTATTAGAGATTTCTGCTCTTATCCCATAGTTTTACATGAGTCTTTAGATGAAACCATTTATGCAAAGATGTAATTTATTTGACAATAATCGAACATAACATCAAAACAAAAGCTCTCAGCAATGCATCTTAAGGGCTACCTGAGACTTGGTACTGTATTTTAAGACTACTCAAATTCTTGAAAATTTAAAATGATCTCTGGAGACAGAACTATTCTTTTGAGTGTATGTTTTGAAACTTCTAGTTTTTTTTTATGGTGTTTTAGGTATCTGTTAGCTTTTTGTTTTAGAAAAAATTACTCTGAAACGAAATATTTAAATCCTACAAACTTTGTAAATTGCCGCTTTTTCTTATCACCCTTCAAAAGGAGTAAGTAACTTTGCTTTATTCTAATCTCATTCAAATCATTTCACTTCAAATATATTTTTAGAAAAAACAACATATTAATATCTTTCTTTTGACATCACATTTCTCTCCCCCCCCCATATATTTATATAATCTGCTGGAATAGTTGAAATTAAGTTGTGACATTTGTGCAAGGTGAGTCATGGCTTCACACTGATGACCCAAGGGAGAAAAGAACTTCTTCACATTATATATACTAAAATAGAGTTATGCTTTTGTTAGAAAAGATGAATGATAAATGTTTTAAAGATTAAATGAGCAGATTCCAAATTTTTTTAAATCTCACTACAGTTTCTTTAAATTTATCTGTATTCTATAGAAATTGTGGGGGCTCCCTGTGTGTCGGCAGTTTATCAAGAGATTTTAATAAGCATTTAAAATTATTTTATATTGATAAATTCATAATTTTAATTTTTTAGGAGAACAAACATTATGACCTTATAGAATCTGCTAATCCACAATTTAAACAAGCACTCATTGGATTAAACATATTTAAGGATTACCCACAATCTGTTAGATTTATTTTTCCTGAAGATGTTGGCCATAAACTCGAGCAGGCTGAGTTAGTTGTTATTGACGAAGCTGCTTCTATACCTTTCCATAGACTTAAGAAATTGTTTGGTCCATACGTAGTTGTGATGTCTTCTTCAACAAGTGGGTAAGTTATTTTTAAGTTGCATTTTATTCCCAAATATCCAATAATGTTTTTAAATTGTTGATTTTGTTAAAGTTTGAAAATTCATTTTATAAATATTGACTATGTCTTTATAGTGCCATTTCCACTAGCCCATTTTTGTGTAAAAAAATGATAGAAAATATCCAATCAACACAATCTCTAAAAGAAGATTCAACGGTTTCATCAGGTAGATTTTTATGTTGCTTTTTTTCTTTCATTATGTTTATTCTTCTAATGAATTGATTTATTATTAATTATTTGCACTCTGTCTAAATGTGCATTTTTCTAAAAAATATACAATAGATCAGAAGTAAAATTTCCTAACTTGTAGGCTTTTACTTGAATCCTAATAGAATAGAGAATGAAGAAAAAAAAATAATTTATACAGATCTATTAATATACTTAATAATTCCTAAGAAAATTTCTTATTTTATATTTTACTATGTTTATTTATCATGTTTTTTGATTGTTTGAGGTACTATGTTATAGCAGTGATTCCGCTTAACTTTGAAAAATATGAATCTTCCTTAAGATTCAAGACTTCCAAATTTCTGAGCCGTTTTTTTTACTAAATGTAGGTCCCTAATAAAAATATCATTACTTTAAAAATATGGAAAGTCAATGATTTGTGATTAGAGGAAGAAAAATAATAAAATATACATATATAAGTATAGTTTATTCAGTAATAATTTATCAAAGAATAGAAATCAAAAACTTTACATAGACTGTGTTATGAACTCAAAATCAAGTAGTGTTTTCCAATATTAATAAGATAGTCTTTGAATTCAGCCATTAATCAATCCAACTATAATATTTAAAAATAAAATAATGTATATTAATAATTTAAAAGCAGTGTTTATTCTTCTTAATAATTTAACATCTATTTTATTTTTAAAAAAATAATAATATAACATATCTCACATTTATTTTTGCTTTTAGAACTCTGGCTTTAGTCAACCCAACATTAGTAGATTATTGTGATATTTTTATCATTATTATTTATTTATTTACGATTTCTGATTCTATACTTTTGATTCAAAATTAGTTTGTTTTCCTTTAAATAAATCCCTATTCAAACCTATGTTATTCTACATTATAATGCTATGTCTATCTGGCGATATATCTCAGTAAAAATTTTCTTAGGTTGTCTTAGTCTGGTCTATGGTTTTAGACAAATTTGATAAGTTATTATGCATAACCGGAATCACTGTCATAGAGATAAATTAGATTTCAATTGTATTTTTGCAAAAATACAATTGAAATCTAATCTAATCCGTGATTTACCTTGATAATTTAATTTATTTTTTTTACATTATTTTGTAAATATTTGTTTTTTTAAATTAATATACATTCTATCAAAAAGTTTTGTTTCTTAATAAAACAAAATTATGTATTTCTAATGAATTACTTTGTATGATGAAAAATGTGGTTTGGAATTTAGTTGACATTTTCCTAAAAAAGTAAGGGAAAGTAAACTATTTCTAAAATTGAGTGGCAGCCCTATGTCTATTTTTTGGTCGTTAATGAAAATTCTATACATTTAACTTTTCTTTTTTCTTAAATATGCAGGATGTCTTCAAACAATTGTATTAAATGAGCCTGTTCATTACAATTCTGATGATGGTGTTGAATTTTGGAGTAACCATATTTTCTGTATGGAGTCAACCATACCATCTCAACTGTCTCTTGGTTGCCCAGAAACAAAACTTTGTGAACTGTATCCTTACTGATATTTTTATCTGAGTCCCTATGAAATAAATGAAAATTATGTGACTAACACTTATGATTTTAAAAAAAGCATATTTTAAGACTTCAAGGAATTTTTAAATACAGATGAGAGTGTTTTGTAATATATTTTGGGTTGGGTTTTGTAATGCATTTTGGACACAATGGTAAACATCTTGATCTTTCTTATTTTTCCGTAGTTAGATTTTGTATAAGTTTCATCAAAAGTACAAACTTATTAAGAAATAACATAGTTAACCACTTATTAACTAAATTATTACAGTCAAACGTCAATATTACAAAGTTGACTAAAGACACTAAAAAATTTTGGAATTTTGAAAATCCAATATTATAATTGAATACTGTTTAACAATTCGGTCAAAATAATAAGTTTATTGATATTTTGAAAGTGGTATGAAATGTATTTGCTTCATTATGTCAAAATCTTTGCATAATTATTTAATTTTAGTCTCTGTTAAAGGTTTTTCTATTTTATTTTTTCTGATGTCAGAAATAGAAAATAAAACCGATGCCTTTATTTGATTTAATATTTCTAATTCTTCCCTTTCACCACATAATGAAACAGTATTGTTCATAATTATTATTTCCTCATAAATATCAGTTTCTTTTGGATTTGTTAGGTTATCAAGTTCTTACTTATTTTTTCCTCAAATATTCTTATTTATACACTCATTTTCCGTGTCAACTCTTTTAGGAAAAAATAATTCAGGAAATTTCTTTTCAAACATGATAATTTATTTCTTAATAGAGTTGTAAAGAAAAGCATTAAGAATTCATGCATTAAGGTGGGGAAAAATTTGATCATTAGAAATGTTTTGGTAAATCAAGGATCATCAAGAAATTTGACTAAAAGAGGGGTTTTTTTATTAGCAACATAGCAAATTAAATATTGCTGTTGACTTTATGTGAACAATGCTGAAAGTTTTAATTTGGGATCTTATTGAAAAGAAAACATGTAAAAACAAATATCGGTAAAAAGATATAGTTTTTATGTGTAATAATGATTATAATTTTAAATTTATCGATTTTAGCCATTTTAATATATTTTTGAACTGCAAATCCCACTATTCCAGTCCAAAACCACTTTCTGACATCCAAAACCTCATCCTTTATGCCAAACACTTATTTTGTATGAGATTAAACAAAACAAAAATATGCAATAAAATTTTATGTTACAAGTTATAAAAACATGGGAAGCCTTTGAATATACATATATATATATTCATTCAAAAAATTTAAGGATCAGAAATGTGTTATGTTCCGAAAAAAGGTAAAATGTACCTAATATATGGGGATTTTAATCCTTTTCTATTCCTAATTCTAAGGATTCTATTTTAAATATCAGATCAACTTTAATTTTGTAAAAAAAACAATTATCACTTATTTTCTTTTATAATTTATATTTTCTTTAATAAAATATCTAGATATTGTGTCTCTCGTGATGCTTTGTTCAGTGGCAGTCCTTTTACTGAGAAATTCTTAAAATCTCTTGTATCAATACTGAATCAGTCTAGTTATACATTGAATGTAGAAGAACTTCTTAGGATAGCAGATTCTCCTGATTACCAAATATTTGTTCTCCTACCTCCTTTGCAAAGATGTACTACCAAAATTCCTCTTGAAGTGCTGTGTGCTATTATTGTAAGAAATTAAGTCAAACTACAATAAAATGTTAATTATTATTTACTACAACTATAAGAAGTTTATAGTATGTTAATTAAAGAACTTAATGAAAAAAGGTTGAAATCTTAGCGACATTTTAAAAAAAGTTAAAGTATCTAGAAGAAACTTGTTTAATGATATTTAATTGTGGAACAATAATTTACTTACAAAATCTTAAGTTTTGTTGACCTCAATAGAGGAAGGTACCAAGTAACCCTCTCTAAGTGTTTTCATTGTTAAAGATTTCATTTACTTTTAGCAACTAACATTTCTTAAAAAATCTGTATTTTTGCAATAAATTAAAACATAAACTCAATGCTATGACATAAATTTAAATTCGTGTACAGGATTTATAGATTTTGCCAATTAGAATCAGATAAGAAATAAAGACAAGGTATAATCCTTAATTCCTTTGATTAATATATAAACTTGTCAGATAATTTAGTTATAAATTTTTAAGGTTATTTACTAAAATGTCAGTGGGTATACTTTAAAATCCTCATCAAATTTAAGCATTATGACACGAACAGGTTAAATAAGTGTTTGGGATTGATAGATTTTGTTCATATAAAGTTTTTGGGCAAGAAATAGAGGTACCAAGTGAAAGTTTTTTAGTATTTTCAGTGGGGAGTAGCTCATTTAAATGATTGTGAATGATTTATGGGTTTCACCAATTGGCAACTGAGGGGCCGAAAAAATGAAGGCAGAGCATACTCTTTCTTGCTGTCAAAGTTTAATAGTTAGTTTACTTGTGTTCATTGAAATGTCACTTAAAACATAAAAACACTCAGTTTTTCAATTATACTCCTAGTTTTTTGCTATTGGTAATTTATACTGATTGCTATTTATGGTTGCTCTCCATATTTATCAAAAAATTAATGTTCTTTGAGTTTGTTTTAACAAGTTTTAAAGTAGGNCTTTTGGATTTGGTAGGTTATCAAGTTCTTTCTTATTTTTTCCTCAAATATTCTTATTTATACACACATTTTCCGTGTCAACTCTTTTAGGAAAAAATAATTCAGGAAATTTCTTTTTAAACGTGATAATTTATTTCTTAATGGAGTTGTAAAGAAAAGCATTTTTAAGAATTCATGCATTAAGGGGGGAAAAAATTTTGATCATTAGAAATGTTTTGGTAAATCAAGGATCATCAAGAAATTCGACTAAAAGAGAGGGGGTTTTTTTTATTAGCAACATAGCAAATTAAATATTGCTGTTGACTTTATGTGAACAATGCTGAAAGTTTTAATTTGGGATCTTATTTAAAAGGAAACATGTAAAAATAAATATCAGTAAAAAGATATAGTTTTTATGTGCTATAATGATTATATTTTTAAATTTATAGATTTTAGGCAGTTTAATATATTTTTGAACTGCAAATCCCACAATTCCAGTCCAAAACCACTTTCTGACGCCCAAATCCTCATCCTTTATGCCAAACACTTATTTTGTATGAGATTAAACAAAAAAAAAATTGCAATAAAATTTTATGTTACAAGTTATAAAAACATAGGAAGCCTTTGAATATACTTATGTATATATTCATTCGAAGAATTTTAGTATCAGAAAAGTTTTGATATGTGTTATTTTCCGAAAAAAGGTAAAATGTACCTAATATATAAGGATTTTAATCCTTTTCTATTCCTAATTCTAAGGATTCTATTTTAAATATCAGATCTACTTCAATTTTGTAAAAAAACAATTATCACTTTTTTTCTTTAGAAATTTGTATTTTCTTTAACAAAATATCTAGATATTGTGTCTCTCGTGATGTTTTGTTCAGTGGCAATCCTTTTACTGAGAAATTTTTAAAATCTCTTGTATCAATACTGAATCAGTCTAGTTATACGTTGAATGTAGAAGAACTTCTTAGGATAGCAGATTCTCCTGATTACCAAATATTTGTTCTCTTACCTCCTTTGCAGAGATGCACTACCAAAATTCCTCTTGAAGTGTTATGTGCCATTATTGTAAGAAATTAAGTCCTACTACGATAACATGTTAATTATTATTTACTATTACTATAACATGTTAATTGAGAAGCTTGATGAAAGAAGTTTGTAATCTTAGTGACACTTTAAAAAAAAGTTAAGGTATCTCGAAGTAACTTGTTTTAGTGATATTTAACTGTACAACAATAATTTATTTGCAAAATCTTAAGTTTTGTAGACCTCAATACAAGAATGTGCTAAGTAACCCTCTCTAAGTGTTTTCGGGGTTAAATGCTTCAAGTACTTTTAACAACTAATATTTCTTAAAAAATCTGTATTTTTGCAATAAATTAAAACACAAACTGAATGCTATGACATAAATTTAAATTCGTGTACAGGATTTATAGATTTTGCCAATTAGAATCAGATAGGAAATAAAGACAAGGTATAATCCTCAATTCCTTTGATTAATATATTAACTTTTCAGATAATTTAGTTATAATTTGTTAAGGTTATTTACTTAAATTCTCTAAAATCCTTAGCAAATTAAAGCATTATGACACAAACAGGTTAAATAAGTGTTTGGGATTTATAGATTTTGTCCATTTAAAGCTTTTAGACAAGAAATAAAGATACTAAGTGACAGTTTTTTATTATTTTCTGTGGGGAGTTGCTCATTTAAATGATTTTGAGCAATTTATAGATTACAGCAATTGGCAACTTAGGGGGAGGATCATTTTTCTTTCTTACTGTCAAAATTTAAAAGTTAGTTTACTTGAATTCATTGAAATGTCACTTAAAATATTCAAACACTCAGTTTTTCAATTATACTCCTAGTTTTTTGCTATTATTAATTTATACTGATTGTTATTTATGGTTGCTCCCCATATTTCTCAAAAAAAATTTATTTTTTAAGTTTTTTTTAGCAAGTTTTAAGGTAAACATTTTCGAAAAATACACCCAAACAAAAAAAAAAAATTTTTAATTTGCATATAAAACATTTTGTAATTTTAACTTAGTTTGCTTTGCTAATAAATTATTTATTGCTCATTTGAAGAGGAAAAAGTCTTTGCTCCAAATGTGTAAAATTACTGTTCCAAAAATGTCTTTAAAACGTCTAAACTTGAGGTTATATTAAAAGTGAAATAGATATTTTCAAGTCCAAATTGTTAGAATTAAGTCTCAACAATCAGCTATATTTTGAACTCATTCAATAAAAATTTATATTACTAAATTTGACATCATCGAATACTAGTTAAACATAAGAACTTACTTTAGTTGTAACCTGGCATTCTAGTTTTACGAAAAGTGTGATAACCTGTAATAAATATCAAATTTTATATGTTATATTCCTAAATTTCACATCATTGTATATAATTTTAACTTTTTTTAAGAAACTCATCTTGGCTGTTATCAAATATTCTAGCTGTGCGAAAAATGTGGCAGCTTAAATGGTTATTAATATCATTTCTAAAAATTATTTTTAGTTAAAAATTAAATTTTGATGAATTGTTTTATCAGGTCCATATTGAGTCTAACCTTCCCTCTGACATTGTAAAATGTGGATCAAATCTAATTCAACCCGTGCCTAGTTGCTTCAATAAATGGAATGTGAAGGCAGATGTTTCGAAATTACGTGGTCTTCATATTATTAACTTAGCAACACATCCTCAGTATAAAAAAGTAAGTATTTCCTCATAAATTTTAATTCAATTGTTGTCATAAATAGAAATGATTAACCTTTTTTTATCTATTTTTTATTTATAATATTTCTTTTTTATTAAACAAAGAAAATAGTGTCGTAGTTGAGAGTTGTTACTTCCAGCCCCTTTTTATGACAAACAGACTGATTTATTTTTTTTAAATATATATATTGTTTCTTTGATTTTTTTTTTTAATTTTTAATATACATGACCAATTTAATGTGACCAATTTTGAAAGGAGGAATACTGGAAAATATATTTGAATGGCTAGAAAAGCACTGTGCTTTCCATATGGGCATCAAGATGGTTTTTTGCATTTTGCTGCTAGTACAGGTTTTTCAAACTTATAAAGTATTTATCTGTAAGCATTGCTAAAAAAAAAATAATAAAAAAACAGTTTCATGGGAAAATTTTACAGTTAGAAAAAGTGTGGCTTATCTATTGCGCCAGTTTCTCGTTTGTACAGAGATAAAAATTTTCATAAAATTAATCAAAATTGCCACTTTTACCTATAGCTTAATGATTTCATTTTCTTTTATCTTCTTGCTATAATGTTGCATGCCACAAGAAAAAAAAATTGAATACTCATGTTTGTGCAATGTATGGGAAATCAACTTTTAGATTGATAAAATGTTCTTTAAGAGTTATTCTATCTGTTCAAATAGAATGTTTTTCAAGCTTAAAATGAAATTATAGTTTGATTTAAATAAGTGTTCACTTTATTATTATTTTATTATCAGAGATGTGTAAATAAAATTCTCTGAGAGCCAGTTTGTTATGGATTGTAGACTAGTTCACCAATTTGCTTAATATCTTACTAAAATATTTGGCACCAGCTTTGATTTTTTAGCAACAGTGGTGACCAAAATTCAATACCCTCGATTGTTTTCATTTAATAAAGGATTTTGAATTAACTGATTGTTAAACAATTTCTTACTTGTAATTTACATTCTTACCTTTTTAATATTTGGTGTAATTGACTTGATTTTTATTTTGAAGCGTTTTTAATTTCTGCCTTAGATGGGATATGGCTTGCGAGCTGTGCAACTATTGAAAGAGCTGTATGAAGGAAAAGTTATATCGCTTGAAGAAAATGTGAAATTGTCTAATAATAATCAACAAACGGATAGAAGTCAAGACGAAGGTTCTAAATTCGAATCCCCTCTGTTACTTCAACTGTCAGATTTAAAATTGGATAATATAGACTTCATGTGTGTTTTCTTCAATTTGTCATCAGATGTTTTCAGGTTGTTTTTCTGTCTCTTTGTTTTTATAATCAAATTTTATTTTTAAAGGAAAAAAGTCTTTAAAGTAATGGCAATTAAAATAGAATTTTTTTTTAAAAATACATGAATTTTTATAACTTTATTTTTTTTTTCAAAACTTTATAGTATATTTATGTTGAAATATTTTTTCCCTAGTTTTTGGAGGAAAGCTGAATTTGTACCTTTATACATGGCTGCTAACAAAGTAAGAAAAGGTTTTTTTTTCTATCATTCTAATTACCATCTTTATTTTCTTTATCGATTATTTTTTATTATTTTATTTCAGTTTTTAATGTATTATGATAGTTTGTTTTCAAGAAAGTAAAATTTCAATGAACTTAAGATATCCATTTTAGAAAACCCTCAAGTAGTCTAAATAAATGCCCATGAACCTAAAATTCCCTTTGTTTTATCTGCTTTTAAATTTATTTTTGCATTTGACTGTATTTGAATTTGTAATGTTTTTATTTGATGCTTAAGATACTCTTCCAGCTGATAAATACTGCATTAAACCAGTGTTTTCATCATAGAAAAAAAATGAGTGAGAATTTCTCACCCTTTCTCAAAAACAGGGTGAGATTTCAAAAAGTTAACTGAGATTTCTAAAAACTAAAAAATCACAAGAACTCTTGAAAAAAAAATTTTTCTCTTTAATTTTAATACATTTTTAACGTCTTCTATTTTTTAAAGCATTGAATATTTTTGGTGCATCGTCATAGAAGATTTTGCCTTTACAAGGTATTTGTCCATCTTACATAAGTGCATAAAAAATTTGAACGTCTTACATGAAGAAACCTTACCTACGGTAAATACGTGGTTGCAGAGAAATGTGTTCTGAAAGGGGTTCCGTGGTTGTGTTCTGTTGTTAAGAAAAGTTCTGAACAATACTGGTAAATAGGGAAGCTAGATAATGGGGCAGATGTTGAAAATAATGAAAGATACAGGGAAAAAAGTGAAACGGATTTTATACTAAATGGCGTAATTCGAAGTTTTTTCCAAAATGCGAGAAATTCGCGAATTTTGAAATTGATTTATAGAACGCGGTAATCATTTTTTAATGCGAGAAAAGAACAAAAATATGCGAGATTCTCGCGCTGTAGTGAAAACACTGTAAACTATCATTTTGGGATTATTACCTTATTTGTTGTCTGTTTTTATTTTTCAGGATTCTGATGTAGTACCTATTGCCATGTTTAAACCAATCAATGAAGAGTCATCTAGTTTTGTGGAAAAAAATATGATGAGTTTCAGCAATCATTATTTTGCAATTCTCAAATCACATTGCAAGAAGTTTCCAGCATCTTTTGCTCTTAGCATATTAAATTCTTGTCAGAGATTTATAAACACAAAAGGTATGTTATCCTTATGATACCACTTATCAGGATATTTATCATAAAATATTTAGTCTATAAAAAGAATTTTTATTTAAGAAATCTTACTATATTTATTATTTTGGGTGAAAAATGGGGGGGGGGTTTCTCTTGTTCTAAGTCTATTGAATGTGGAAAATGCGACTCTCAATATTCAAAATAACGCTTTCATTATTTTACATTTTGTGAGTTATTTAAATAATTTCTACTTACAAATTAAATGTAACCTTGCAAAACTTCCAAGTGCATTTTTCTTAAGAATTGTTTTCTGAAAGTGGTGCACATTGTTAGTCATATTCTACTCTTATGTTTTTAACCTTTTATTATGAATAAATCAGATATGTAAGATTTAAAAAATTACTTTCTCGAACGAATGTCTTCCTTAAAATATAGATCTGCATGTTTTATATGCTATGGAGCGTTGGGAATGTCCTGTATGCAGACTTTCAGTTTTAAAAATTCAAACAGCTCTAATAATTTTTTTGTTAAAATAAAGCTTTGCTATCCTTTATCCTCTAATTTTGAAGGAAAGAAAATGCTTAATTTGCCTTTACAGACTGACATACTGTGTTGTCTGCCACACCCAGTTTTTAATTTTTAAACTAATAAATTTACTGAAAATTGGAGTAAGAATTAATGACACCAAGACCTACTTCTACAGAAGTCATTCGAACTACTATATTTTATTTTTAAACTAAGTTATATATTGGATGTCCCATTGGTGATTTGAAACTCACCCAACTTCAAATCAGTGGGTACCATCTTGTCTGGGATGTAAACACAGTCTGTGTTCAGTGCTGACCACAATCTCACAATCATGCCATTAATCCTGAAATTGTAGAGCCATAGTCCACCTGGAATGCTTTACTTAATGCTTTGCAAGTTATTCTGCAAATATGACATTCTTATATGGTGTAATTTTCCTATGATAATCGAGTATCTGCAGTTATTTTAATTTTGTGTTCTATAATCTTTAGATTTACAGAATACAAAAATTTCATATTTATAATCAATTGTTTTAACTTTTTTACAACTGTTTTAATAATTTATTTTAATAATTTATTTCAATATTTGTATAAACTTGTTTTATTTTATTTTCTAGATATTTCTAAAGAGGAATTGGATTTATATTTAAAGCCCTATCATATGAAGTCACTTGAAAAATATTGTTTAAGGCTTCAAGAATTGAATACAGTCATTCACNCTGAGATTTCTAAAAACTAAAAAATCACAAGAACTCTTGAAAAAAAAATTTTTCTCTTTAATTTTAATACATTTTTAACGTCTTCTATTTTTTAAAGCATTGAATATTTTTGGTGCATCGTCATAGAAGATTTTGCCTTTACAAGGTATTTGTCCATCTTACATAAGTGCATAAAAAATTTGAACGTCTTACATGAAGAAACCTTACCTACGGTAAATACGTGGTTGCAGAGAAATGTGTTCTGAAAGGGGTTCCGTGGTTGTGTTCTGTTGTTAAGAAAAGTTCTGAACAATACTGGTAAATAGGGAAGCTAGATAATGGGGCAGATGTTGAAAATAATGAAAGATACAGGGAAAAAAGTGAAACGGATTTTATACTAAATGGCGTAATTCGAAGTTTTTTCCAAAATGCGAGAAATTCGCGAATTTTGAAATTGATTTATAGAACGCGGTAATCATTTTTTAATGCGAGAAAAGAACAAAAATATGCGAGATTCTCGCGCTGTAGTGAAAACACTGTAAACTATCATTTTGGGATTATTACCTTATTTGTTGTCTGTTTTTATTTTTCAGGATTCTGATGTAGTACCTATTGCCATGTTTAAACCAATCAATGAAGAGTCATCTAGTTTTGTGGAAAAAAATATGATGAGTTTCAGCAATCATTATTTTGCAATTCTCAAATCACATTGCAAGAAGTTTCCAGCATCTTTTGCTCTTAGCATATTAAATTCTTGCCAGAGATTTATAAACACAAAAGGTATGTTATCCTCATAATACCACTTATCAGGATATTTATCTTAAAATATTTAGTCTATATAAAAGAATTTTTATTTAAGAAATCTTACTATATTTACTATTTTGGCTAAAAAATGGGGGGGATATTTTTTTTTCTCGTGTTCTAAGTCTATTAAATGTGGAAAATACGATTCTCAATATTCAAAGTAACGCTTGCATTATTTTACATTTTGTGAGTTATTTAAATAATTTCTACTCACAAATTAAATGTAACCACAATATGCACACAATTAAATGAGTGCATTCTTCTTAATTGTTTTCTGAAAGTGGTCCACATTGTTAGTCATATTCTACTTTTATGTTTTTAACCTTTTATTGTGAATAAATCAGATCTGTAAGATTTA